GCTCCAGGGTTGAATTCATCTGGTTTCTAGATGCCCTTGCATCGCAGTGACGAGATCTCATCTACACAGGGGAACAGAGCGAATAATACTTTGAAGGACCCGGATTTTAACCCTCAGCTCAGCTCTATGTCATGAGGTCCTTTTTAGATGGAAACACTACTCCGGCACATCGATACTCACGTCCTCTTTTGGTCTCACAACAGGTGAGAATATATTAGCCGAAGTATTTGGACCGTAATTGAGGCTGCCAATTCAGGAAGCGGAAATTTGGCGAAGAAAGTCTTTGTTTAGCTTTGATGCAGATTTCGAGTCCGGATAAAGTGGCTTGGTGTTACAACCGGTTTAACCCTATTTTCACATTTTTTGCCATCGACCAGTGAAACCACATCATCAGCACTTTCTTAACCGGAGATCCAAATTACTGGAGACAGCTGTCCGCTTTCTCACCTGTTGACACATCTTCCAGGATCCAGTAGAGCAGGAAGCAGTGGGGACGGAGACCTTCTACAGTACTCCAGTTAGTAGTACTTACCACTAGATCCTACCATATATCCCTGTTGCACAGTAATAGGAATGAATCGAGCTGACGATACTCGTGAGCGTTCCAGCATGATGTTCAGTTGTGAGGCAACTTCAACCGAGTCAAAAACCGCGCGGAAGTCGATGAAGCGAGTGACGGCAGTTTGTTAGAGCTTGATGAGCTGTTCCAATATATTGCGAAGGGCTAAGGCCCGGTATACGTATCCTCCTTTAGAATAGAATACCCTTTATTTAAGCTGTGTACATGAATGTCTTTCACCTGCAAGGCCATAAACTAACTGCTTGGGGAGTGAAGTGAAGAGAGTGTCCATTGAGTTCACACCTGGTAGACAAATTGATCTGTTGAAAATTTGAGAGAAAGCAACAGAGTTGAAGTGCTTCAGTCAAACTAGAATACTTCATTATCTCAACTCGCTTTTGGATTGGCTTGGTGAATTCCAATGTATAGGAATTGTCGCAGTAACCCCACGAAAGGCGAAAAGTCTTGGAAGTGGAAAACTGACTGTTTCGCTGTGAGGATTCTCTCATCCTCGGGGGAGAATGATCAATCGTTAAATCGCAAAAGCACTTGATATATAGGATAAAACATTTACTTGAAATAAACATTTAAAATAGACTCCTCCGTCTTCGTGTAACTGGATTTCTGTTGAACACCTTCCGCGCCACAAATCGCATTTTAAAGATGACTGTATCGCAAATTCTCCAACCGAAATGTGACGCTTCGAAGCCTTCAAGGTCATAACCCTTGTCGAGACTCTCCCCGTCACTTCCTCTGGATCTCATTCAAATAAGCCCAGCCAAAAAATTAAACCCCGCCACCCATAGAAGATTGGAAGAAAGAAAATAGGAAATCTGTACTTTCAGTTTTTAGTGAAGAGGGTGAAATTGGAACATGTTACTAATAATTTGCATGAGAAAGCCCGTTTTTCGGTACCTTTGCCTTCAAACGAACTCACACAATTAGCTGTCCACTAAAGATCGGTGTGTGCTGAATCGGCGTTTATTCTGCATCTTGTAGACGTGCCACAGAAATTCGATGGTTTGTGTGTGAGCTCTGGTCGTTGGATCCGCAAAGTTTTCGGTATGGTTAACCGTTTCATGAGTATAGTTCATGTCAATCATCGTTTCAATTCCTTGGTATGATGGACCATCTCGTGGCTTTGCAAAAAACGCATTGCCGTCTCCTTGTCATGAATGAGAGTTGAAAGCGTCTGAAAGTTCATTTAAGGTTTTACGTCCGGACGGAGAAAATTTTTGCACAAAATGAGTCTAGATGCGGATAAGGAATTGATTTCACTAAAAATAGGTCATTACATTGGGGATCGCAAAATGTGGCAGGCCTTAACTTTTCGCACATGCACTTTTTGCATTAGTGGCGAAGCCTATCTGGAAAAGATTCTTTCCTCTTCCACTGGGAGCTCAAAAGAAACTAAATCATCTAGAGAATGACCTAGATGGGAACCTTTCCAAGGCTCCGCTAGGTTTGTCAAAAGTGATTCACAATCCACGACCCCCTAATTCTGAGTTCACCCGAGAGGTGGTGCAGCTACCTAGATTGGTCATATTGTCTAAGTCACACGCAAGTAAATGTCTGTAAATTGACATGCTAGACAGACTACACTGGCTTTCTCCATCCGTATACTGGCGTCTGAAAACTGATCCTAGGGAAAAAAACATGGGAGATCAGTTCGCCTATTAGGCTCCCAATGGAGATTTCCGGTGAGACATGGTTCCCGATAAAAAAGAAAACATAAAGTTCCTATGGCAGTACATTCTTAGTAATTGCCTAATTCGATTCAATGACAGTAATAAAAATTTCAGATACACTAATAACAAACCACAGCTGATCGCACATTGTCCACTTACTGGTGAGTATAATGGGAAGCATAACACAGGAAAGATGGATGTTCAACGATTTTCTCCCTAGGGTTGACACCTACACCAGACTGATAAAGAAAGTGGGCCTTATGGAATAGGGGAGCCCTCAGTGGCGCTCATACATCCAAGCTATTGCCTTCAATGTATAGCTCCCTTCCCTATAACCCGCTTAACAGTCCAACAACACTGCTGTATTTACGCACTAATTTATCAGCTCCCACCTCCAATGCGCAGCTACCTACCCTCCTCCTCAAGTCAACGGTGAACGAAAGTGTGGCAGCCACAACCACTGTACGACAAGTACGCGGTTATTACAGCTTACAATGATGATGTTGATGAAGAGCCGGCTTCCAAAGGCGGTTAGGTAATCTGTACATCCTCCGTCAGGATCAGTGACCCGTTAGGATGGACGATCTAAAGAACTACAGAGAGTAACTAACTGGGAAAGCTCACCATCGTCATATTCAGCTGGAAACCGCATAAATATTGTGGATTGGTTATAGCTGATGATGATCTGGGAGGATAGAGTCTGAAGGCTATGTATTACTGCTGCCATTGACGCGTGGATCGACGAGTGACAGCCGAGTTTACATTGTGTTTCGGGGAAATTGAGCATTGAAGGAAAATGCTTGGGTGTATGCGCGCCCTCGTTCTAACCACTGATGCGTCCCATCTCGGGTCCAATGCTTGGGTGTATGCGCGCCCTCGTTCTATCCACTGATCTCGGGTCCCCATCCTAAGTTTTCAGTGTCAGTCTTTCTCTAGGCTCTTCACTAGTTGATGTTTGGTGAACTCGCGTGAGCCGTCGTAGTCACTGCCTGCTGTATGAACGACCTATATTCGGTCATCCTTGGATCGTAGCGCAAAAGTTGGACAGACAGTGTTGAAAGCCGCCAGCATAAATGCTTCGTTCGCTCGACCACTATCAATATGGTGTAGGTTTACCGCAGAGTATTATTGAACTAGCTCAGATCGATACTGCTGAGCTATGGTATTTCTTCAAAGATGGTGGATTGACATGCTTCTTGCTGACATCTGAGGGTCTGGAGGAAGGCAATTTGTCAGGCGTGCTCGTACCGTGGTGTGATCGGAACCAACTTGTGCCCCAGAAGGAATGACAGCCTTGAATTGTGGCTGATAGCCACGTGATCCAACTCCGTCCGAAGTTGGTTCGCATTTGGTCGCCGCCAACTACAGCGCTTATGTTGAAAATTCGACCAGAAACAGTTGGTGCTCAGCACACAACTGGAGAAGTCACCTTCCGTTGTTTAGGTGACTGGAATCGACTCCGAATCAACCTTCCATAGATGATTCCAAGAAGCTGAGACGATCGACTTTTGTGTTCACATTGCTTGTAAAGATCAAGCCCTGTTACTTGATGAATGAGCTAAGGGAAATTTCGATGAAAAATATCCCTCAGAACTGCAATCCGTTGAAGGATATGCTGACAATAACAACAAGCACCGTTTTCATGTCGAGTAGCCCTGAGCTTGATGAAGCTGGATAACCAAACGGCACAAAGATGGTTGTTCACTGGGATCCAATCCAGCAAAGCGCGTTCAGTTCTGGGGTTGCGTGCAGCTCCCGCGCCATATGTCCCACGATTCACGACTTGTGGATCACCGGACACACGAAGGATGAAATCTGAAAGACCGAGTCGTCCTTGTCATTTTAAGTTGCATTACCACGAATGGGTCTTGTATGCATGTTTCAGAGACATAACATACGACGACTTCAAGGGTGTATAATTTCTTCGCGGGCATTGTCTGTTTGCCGATTTCACACAGAACGACTTCAAGGGTGTATAATTTCTTCGCGGACATTGTCTGTTTGCCGATTTCACAGACTTTGCAAGCTCCTATGCAGAAAGGATCTCCTGGATTTGGCCATTATTTTGTCCTTTGTCAATGGACAGAGGGGTGAATAAGACACATCTGCGAAATAAGTGATGATTAAATGACCCGTGATGTTCGCTTGTAGGATAGGACGGGATGAAGTATCACTGAACAAAGAACTGCGTGGGTAAATAATGAAGTCTCCCAGTTGCCGAAAGGCTTTGGCCCAGAAGTCTGACGCAAAAGGCAGTGGGGGATAAAAGACTTTGTTAGGCGGTCCCTGGCCTCTGACTCAAAATTCTGACTCGCGAGACAGCGGGCAGTAGGGTTTTCTTGGGGAACCTTACCCGCAGCTCTTAACTGCGGGGGTTTTCTTGGGGAACCTTACCCGCAGCTGATGACTCTTAACTGTGCAGCTGCAAGGAGCTGGTCGAAACTGAGGGAGCACAGCAGATGCATATGGAGCCTAATGGAGCTCATGATAAAGTTTATGGTTTTCAACCGCACTTGATCATTTGTCGTCATCATGCAAAGTTATTGGACGATCGTAGTGTTTAGTTTTAGGCCCGACCTTTTCGAACCTGTCCTTCCTCCGGAAAAGAAAACATCGCGGCTTGCTTAAATGTGGGCGTGCTGGTTGTCTGGACGTTACATCTCACTGCCTTCACACTTCCATCGCATGAGACAGCACGACTTCATCTCCAGACCGCTTCATCTTGTGGGCATTCATAGTACGGGAACTCACCGCTTTTCATCTCTTTTATCTCCTTTGGCCTTGCCAGCATGGTTACAACATGTGGTCCGTGCAGCTAGCGGGATCATCAAAACTTTCCGGTCCAACGACGATCTTTGGATCTGTGGAGCAAACTGCAAACTGTTCACAATAGGAATTGAGAGCAGTGAAGGGACAACTATTTCCTTGTGGTAAATTAGTTGCTGCCCGTGGAATTTCTGTTTGCATGTCGTTGAATGAACAGGCCAATCAATCGACACAGTAGCGGAATCCAGTTAACCTTCTTACTACTAATGAGGTTACCGAAACCTTCGACAGCTCACGATCGGTTTTCCCCTTCTTTGGGATCATCAGGTCAACGCAGTCCCCGAGTTTTTGTCAACCTGGTGTTCTACTTGAACCCGAGTTTGACTAAATTCGCGAACTACACTCATTTGCAAGAAAGACTTAAATAAATCCCAACTGAATCTCTCGTTTAGGCCGCTTTCCAACTGAGGTTGCTGCAAAAAATCTGCCTCATGCTTCAGTTGGTACAATAAGAGCCGGCGTTTTTGTAGTTGAGCTGAAATTCACTTGTCTCCCTTCAAAACCAAATTAGTTTGCAAATGAATCTATTTCGCGATCTTTCTAGTAAGTTGCTCACTGAATGCAGTTGTCTCAGATATGAACATACGCCTATCGATTATTCTCGTTGTGTTCATAAGTTGTTCAAATGTTTGACCATTTTCCAGCTTCAAGAACAATAACAATTACGAAACCACGAGCGATGATCGTGCTGTTGTCAATATTTGTTTCCATCATGGAAAACGACTCGCAGGAATGAGTTTTGAAAGTTTCCTTTCCGAGTGTGTACAGTTTCCAAAGACGAGGAAATTCAATAGAACCAAAGAACTGAGCAAAGGTAGGTATACACACGCTGGCTGAACTGTTTACCTTGGTGGGACTGAATATTACTCAAGTGTGGAGACTCCCAGGCGGCTAGCCTAGACAGAACAAAACAAGAAAACACGTGCTCGCTCAGTCAAGCGAAGACATTAGCATCGAAAAGTGAAAAAAACAGGTCATTTGACTACTGGACAAACATCTCACTGAGATGAGTACACAAAGTATTCAGCACATATTCTCGTCGGTGGACAGCATGTACCGGCTGTGGGCACAGAGCAGATTGTCAGTATGAATTCTTATCCTCAACCATCTCCGGGTAGCATGTGATGGAATCATTCTGATTAGCAAGGCTCTATGAACCAGACAACTGGATCACTTATTCAGCTTGGCCTGATACGAACACGCACACATTCTGATATATCTGGAAAAAACTTGAGGGAACTATTGATTGTACGCGTGATTATTGACCAGGACTTACAGAGCTGCATCTTCAGTCTGTTGTAGTACGATATGAGGATATAACTTCTCGTTAAATCGCTGAACTTTGAAAATATGAACGTTAGGCATTGAAATTTGGTTGGGTAGAGAAGATTACTATGAATATTCGCCTGAAAGTTTGAACTGAATGCTAGTGGTGGGCAGACTTTTCCAGTCTACCTGAGCATGTTTCTATGAGGTAGAAATTCCATACTCAAGCGGCTCAGCGAAAGGATTCGTGATCACAGGAATGTTCTACCTGGAAAAGAGTACTATATACGTCATTGTAAGCCGTATCACCCGACAATAACTGAATTAAGTGGTAACAAGAATCCGATATGCTGAAAAGTATCGCTTATCCCTCCAAACACATTGTTACTGGTGACGTAGTGGTTTTGAAAATCGGAAACACAGCTAGCATACATGTAGCCACACGTCACTCAGATTTTTGTGACTCACAAAGGTACCGCAACCGTTAATCTATACCCGATTTCACGTCATTGATGTTCTCTCAGATAGACAAACACCCTATACCGCAAGCTATTGCAACCATTGATCGTGTGCGAAAACCGAGAGACAGTGAGGATGCTTCCAACACTCTCTCTTAAACCCTGCACATTAGTTCTTCATGATGGCACACTTTCTAGTAGTGAGTGATCTCTCCAAAGAACGAACTTTGTGCTTGATCTCTCTACTGTTGATGGTGTCCACGGGTCCCCTAATCACCACACTTTTGCATTGATAAGCAACTGAATGGTACACTGGCTCTTCGCCTAAAAACAGCAGCTTTGAGTGGCATCACAGGAAGTTGTTTATTTTATGTTGAACTCACCTACAGTGAAACCTTTTAACCCATGTTGGCCCGTAGAATGTCAGTGACAGATGGATCAGAAGTTTAGGCTACTTCAGAAACCATGTCAAGTTCATTCGGTGGTCAGACCAGTGACACTGCATTGCATCACAATCCACTGTTAGTCTTGATGTTTCAGTCATCAATTCTGACATTCCTAGCCGACTAGAAAGGCAAGTATCGTTCTGACAAACTTCAGTACATGACCTCTTTACCAGCCATCCACTGATTTGGCAACCAAGTAATGAGAAAACACCTTTACCTTTCCTAATTGACTGGATCTTCTAGCAGCAGCTTTCAGTGGCGTGGTGTTTTCAGCCATGCTCAGTCGTCTATTCTGTCTCCCGAAGCATGCTTATCACACTGACGAAGCTTACATGTTAGCAAGGTATCGATCGAAGACCAACAAGGATTTCAAAGCTCAGCTTGTGGCTCAGGACCATCAGGATCATCCATGGATGAGTTGTAACCTTATGAGTGTCACTATCTTACGATGATGTCAGTGAAATTAGTCCCCTTCGTAATAAGCCATTGGCCGACTAGCTTTTTCAGTCTGAGCGGGCTTCTGAGAACATCCATCAGGGTCCTACTGTAAACAGCTGGTGGACTGGATAATTCATCAATTCCAAGGAAGGAGGTTAGCCCTGAGAGAAGACTACCGTATTTCTGTGGGGTTCCAGTCCAATAAACAAAAATCTCGGACGAAAACAAACCCGATGGATCACTCTTTGAAAGAAAGGTATCATTTTAGGGTTTTGAGGCATACCTTAGAAAATGAAGCTCTCACCACACTCATTTGTCATATTTGCATATAATGATTCGGTTATCTTCTACACAGTAGAGAGGGTGAGAGCACGTTTAAGACAACGAACCCCTAAAGCTCAAGTGGCCTGCTAACAGATGCGTTTTATAGAGGCTGTCTGGTACCATCGTCTACTGCATTAGTCAAAGTAGCGTCGTATCAAGCACCAAGCTTGAAAAAAACTAGCCTAGCTCACGTAATCCCGTCTACCGTGATGACAATAAATACGGAACAGACAGAAAAAACACAGTAAATGCAGCAAAACAGTATCTGATTTGCCTCAGCAAAAGGAAAGAAATTTCAACGAATACATTGCTGTCCAACTGATACCCGCATTAATTTGCTATTAGCGGCAGCACGGTTAAAAAGCAAGTCATTTTTTCAAGTTACTTTCTAAGGGTGATTATTTAACTCCAACTCCAAAACGAAAGGTTCTTGGTCTTACTTATCCAGCCGCACAGTTAATTACACTATCAGCCAGGCAAGTTATCCCAAGTATTTCAACAGGTACTCCACTACCTCGTACGTCGTATATCAGCCTACCTGTGACTTCGATGACAACCCCATCGACTGTGGAGGACAGTTTGTGTGAATGCCAATCATAAAAGGCCTTCGCCACTTGATTCAACTGAGCATTCAGTGCAGCGGCGTATGGCAAGCCCAAAGCCCCGTCGACTGCAAGACGCACCCAAGCCACCGACGAACAAGTTGAACGCTAAACATCGTTCAGAGTTTTGCCTCCGAGCTTTTGTTCAGATTTCCTCACTCGGATACCGAGTAAAGCAACGTTTATCAGTCCCTGCTGACCAAATCTGTGCACAAAACACTGCGCCGTTAGCTTACTCCAGTGATAAACGACCGACCTGTTTGGGTTACTTATCGAGTAATTCTTTGAACATGATATCAGTTGTCTGCTTTTAGTACACCACTGCCGAGATAAAACCGGGACAGAGAACTTCAATATGGTTTGTTTAAACAAACTGAGCGCAATGTAACCAATCCAGCCGAATTGATTCACTTTACCTTAATTCAAAAATTCTCGATGAAATGCTTATGCTTTTGTTCGGACTCACAGCCATCCTTTACGTTAGTAACTCACTACTAGCTAACCTGTGGTGACATAAGTATTCAACTCTAGTTACTGCACACACTTGTCGACAGATTTTGTACGCTTACGTCATCGTCAAGTCCCTTGTGGATAACACAATTCAGCCATCAGGTGGAAAAGGTTTCCATTGTCACTTTGTGCCAGGTACTCTATCAATATGGCCTTTTATGCGTTTGCAAGCGTTTGAGTAAACAGATCTCAATGTGTCGGAATGAGTGTGCGATTGCAGGCATTTCATTCGTCAACGGCATAAGTGGAAAAATTCTGCCAGGTTTTTCTCAAGCCACTCCTAATATCGCGGCGTTATCGACCGGGTAGCTCATTAATGAATGAAACTCAAAATTTCTGTTGACCGCACTGACACAATCACACGAGGAACATTACCGAACGAACCAAAACTACCCCAACTCTAATGATGAGCACCAATCACTTCAGTAATCTAACAAAGTAACGGTTCATGACAGCCTCAAGAGAATCATCATCATCGACAGCATGACATCAGTGTGCAACACCGATGCTTCACTGCCGTACAACCATGACTTATTTGAAAGCCTTATTGTAAAGAAAAGAATAAAGGTGGACGGGGGAGGGACTTAGTGCTAGCTTAACACAATCATTCCGAGGTGTCTACACCTCCAGACATTCACTCAGGCAATCTGGATAGAAACTGACAACAAGAACGCCACTGACATCGGTTGGCAGCCATATCTTGTAGTGTCTCCAACCAGGCACAGTGAGGATCACGCGGTCCCCATCCTGGAAGGCGAGTAGCACCGACAGTACCCAAGCGTTTCGTGATCTCCTCCATACTCCTCTGCCAAGTCAAGGGTTGGCCACCTCTCTATTTACGCCACTCTGAGTTGGGCATGGAAAACAGTACTCTCTTCGGCAAACGATGGTTCGGCATGCGTAACACATGTCCCAACCAACGCAGCTTCTGGTGCTGGACACATTCTTCAATGGAAATACCAGTTGCACAACCGAAAACGCGCTTTCTAACTGCCTTGTTACG